TACGAGACCGATATATTGCGATATATATTGCTAGTCTTTCTATGCTGGCATCTACTGCAGGAGCGTCCACTAGTTACGCAGGCAAGGCCAAGAAACTCGATTCTGCTATCGACAAGACAGTTCAAATTGCAACTATAACAAGAGATGCTACTGAAATAAATCCTGCTCTAGGGCCATTGAAGGCGTCAATGAGCACGTTGATAACGGTACTGGATACGATTAGGGTGAGCGACAAGCTCGTTTTCCTACACCCTAATGATGAAACGTAGAGAAGGCAGAGAAAAGGCACGAGGAGACCTGGATCACAATAATAAAACATATCCACAATCGGATCAAGGGGCTTACAGAACAATTGGAGTCTATGGAATGTAGTGACGGCGTACGCAACTCAGTGACTACTTATCAAAGGTACGAACGAGTTCTCGGACATCCGTTTCATTTTCATTCTCAATACCAGTATAGACGACTGGACGAGATTCTTGCGAGAATGACTTCCTCTTCAACGCCTAAGAAGAAATGGAGGTGGCACATTGATTCACGTCAAAATGGGGAGAACATCAAAGATATAGAACGAGAACTACAGGGTTACTTTGATAGGTTTATGGTAGGTGAATTCATATTGTTGTATAAACCTAGTATCTGATAAGCCACTTGTAGATAGAGTTGAATATGCTAAATCATGAATCTATTAGACAAAACAGTAAGTTGATACACTCATCTTGATCCTTTGCTAACAATATGGATAGACGAAGTTATTTTGATCAATAGCCTCAAGACGGCTGTATCGGCGAATGGAAAAATCCACAAACCCTGCATGGAAGGGACTCGTCTTGGAATTCTTCGTGAAATAAACGAATGGAAACACGCCGATACTACCCCCCAGGTCCTGTGGTTGAACGACGTCGCTGGAGTAGGAAAGTCAACAGTGGCGAAACAACTGGCCGAAGAGTGGAAAAAGCAAGGTGGTTTCGCTGGTCACTTCTTCTTTTCGAGAGACATGGAGGACACACGTACGGAAGAGCGGTTTTTCAGTACGATTGCTCAGCAAGGCGTGTCTCGTCTCAGTTCGATCGCACAAACCGCAGTTGCCAAAGGCATCCAGAAGCTGTTCGATCCAGCATCGGCCACTCTAGAAGATCAATGTCTCTCTATATTTACAGAGCCGCTTGTAGCATTCGGATCACCAACGGTTCTCGTCCTAGACGCTGTTGATGAATGCGAGCCTCGAGGATGCCAGAGGCTTCTAAGCATTCTACTTCGACAACTCCCCCTACTTCCTCATCTCAAATTGTTCGTGACAAGTCGGCGCGAATCGCATATTGAGGAGCTATTCCAAGATCATAACCCGCATAGGTTGTCCCTTCGTGCAAACCAGACATCCAATCTTCAGGATGTTGAACTGTACATGAAAAATATGCTGGAAAATGTGGGCCTCAAAAAGGAGCAAATAAGATCTCTAGTCGAGCGGGCAGGCGGGCTATTTATTTGGGCCAGTACCGTTTGCGGGCTGCTTCGTAACTTTCGCGGAAATAGAGACCATTTTATAAGCCGTATCCTCTCCCAGTCTATTAGCCAAATGGACCACATCTATGAAATCGCACTCGACCAGGCCATAGGAAGTGATCAGGCCGAGGAAAGTTTAGACAGCTACATGAAAGTCCTCAAGCTCATTGTGGTGGCTTACACGCCTATTACTCCAAATACTCTCAATAGGTTACTGTATATCACCGATTCGATGGAAACTGTACGCAGTCTAGGGAGTGTACTAGATTGTAATGGCCCAGATCAAGAAATACGGTTCCTACATCCCACATTCCGCGAGTTCCTGTTGAGCCGGACAGGTAACTATCGCTTTCATGTTGATATTTCCGATGCACATTATCTCATGGGCATGAAATGTCTTACGGCCATGAACGAGGGTTTTCGAGACTTTGTTCACAGAATTCGAGTTGAGGAACCCCAGCAGATTTCCATTGAGCTAGCAGCCTTGCCATATAGCTCCGCCTATTGGATCTCCCATGTCATCCAAACGGCTAAAGGCGATTTATTGGATGGTGAAATGGTCAGCAAGATCGATGAATTCTTCTCCAGCAGGCTTCTAGATTGGCTCTTTGTTGTTTGTTCGATGGATCTCATCGATCATACTGGTATAGTACTTTCTAAGCTTGCCTTAGTCAAAGTTGTAAGCCATAAAACCACCGGGAATGGGAATTTACTAACTCTTGTGTTCAGAATGATGGTACCACGACAGTCTGTAAGGATTCCTGGCGATTTTTGAAATTTTATTGGCTGCAGCTTCGAAAATACCCGTCTAACGTTTACACCTTCTTCGCTTATACCCCCCAGTCGAGTATTTTTCAAGAGGTCTATGCGAAATCGAAATCTTTCCCTCACCCGGTCGTCTCCATAGGCATCGAACAAGACTGGCCTTCCGAAGTGATTGTTAAAGCACACAAAATCAAGGTATTCCAATTATCATCATCCAGTGATGCCATTGCAGTCGGAGGAAGTAGAGACCATTTGGCGGTCATCTCACTTTGGGATATACAGACAGCTGATGGTGTGACCGCTACTCATCCATGTGGGACCAAGTTTTGTGAAGTAAACCATCTATTTTTTCGCGAAGAGGAGGTGTTGCAAAGTGGATGCAAATGTAGTGCTATATATAGGTGGGATATCTCGGATGGTCTTCGCCTGGTCTCGGGCAACAACTCTTGGCTATCAAATATGAACGTGTGTCTATGGGCAAGCGATGGTAGCAAGGTACTATCTAAGACTGAGGCTGATGCCCTCAGCCTCTCAGCGACTACCTACAGCCTTTCTGTAGAAGGCATGCCTGACAATCCCTACAGACTTTACGATTTACCCTACTTCCTAATACCACAATATATGTGGGTATTCTCACCTCGGGATGGTCAGAAGATTGCTCTCTGGGGTAGAGAAGTGGAAGTTTGGGAATGTTCTTCGAAACGTCACCTCTTTAAACGACCCGTCCCAACCAGTGTTACAAGTCTGCGGTCCATTCACTTTTCCCCTGATGCTAATTTCCTCATCTATTCTTTAGACGACTCGCTCCATTTCATTTCTTCAGAGGACGGGACTTCGTTATGGAACTATGGCCTGCAAATTATCATTCACGACCCCGACGCTTCTCTGGATAGAAGCGGAACTTCTGATGGGCCAATCGATCTTAATTCTGGTCGAATAGATTGTGATAGCTCATTGTTGGATAATCGAGGAGTGGACCAACAGCTCATTCTCTCTCTGTTGACCTTGCCACCGATGGATATAATCTCACCTACCTATGACAACACCCTTTTCAGAACAGCTGATCAGATCGTTCTCTCTTCAAGAGGAAACATAAGAAATATTGTCAAAGAATATGTTGAGCGAGGTGCAATCAAAATATCGACCGCAACGTATGGTCAGTCCGGAGGTAATGTGAAAGGACGACATAATCCTCCTACACTTACTCGAGAATCGATCATTTTTCATTCTCAACCTTCACATCAAGAGGGTTGTCGACAATCTAATGAACATATGCCACGGATATCAGCCTTTTTTCTCTCTCCTGACGGCCTATATCTTTTGACAGTGCACGAAAATAATCAAATATTCCTCTGGAGAACTGTATCTGGAAGCAGGGTGTATATTGAAGATGCCTCTGCACTGAATCTACATGAACAATGCAAAGCAGAGTTCGCCTTGGATTCATCAACGACGATTA